GAGCTGTTGCTCCCAAGGTGGGGACTGTAACACAATGGGTCTCACTGCCTGCTGCTCCTGCTGTTCCCTAGGAAATTAATGTTTCTGCTCTGAAGTGCCCCCTCGCGGCCCCCCCCCCCGTTCGTAACTAGGGATCCAACTTAAGTCGGATTGATGTAACCCGGGGACTGCCTGTAGCTTAATTAGGCTTTTGGCGCTGTCTACACAGCAGAAAGTCGAAGGAAGAACACTCTTCCTCCAACTTCCCTTACTCTTTGTGAAATGAGGGTTACAGGAGTGGGAGTAAGAAGCCCGTTATTTCAAACTTATTTCAAAATACTGGGCTTGCTGTGTAGATGAGTACATATTATTATGAAATACCGTCAATTATTCTGAAATAACGCTGCTGTGTAGATGTGCCCTCATTGTCTTAAAGGAAAAGCTATGGTCTCAAGTTGTGGTGGGAGAGGTCCAGGTTGGATATTAGGAAAAACTATTTCACTAGGAGGGTGGTGAAGCACTGGAATGGGTTACCTAGGGAAGTAGTGGAGTCTCCATCCCTAGAGGTGTTTAAGTCTTGGCTTGACAAAGCCCTGGCCGGGTTGATTTAGATGGGATTGGTCCAGCCTAGAGCAGGGGGCTGGACTTGATGACCTTCTGAGATCTCTTCCAGTTCTATGATTCTATGATAAGGGGATGGGTTGATGAGAGAATATGATCTTGGTAACTAATTGACCATTCATTTTCAGTGGGAAATGAGTCAATGGAGGGATGATAGCAGTTTCTATAGAGAATTTCTGAGTGTCTGGCTGGTGAGTCTTGCCCACATGCTCAGGGTTTAGCTGATCGCCATATTTGGGGTCGGGAAGGAATTTTCCTCCAGGGTAGATTGGCAGAGACCCTGGAGGTTTTTCGCCTTCCTCTGTAGCATTGGGCACAGATCACAGCTGAAGGACTCTCTGCATGTTGGGGCCTTCAAAGTATTTGAAGGCTTCAATATCTGAGACATAGGTGAGAGGATTATTCTAAGAGGGGTGGGCGAGATTCTGTGGCCTGCACTGTGCAGGGGGTCAGACTAGATGATCATAATGGTCCCTTTAAAGACTAACAAGATGGTTTAATAGGTGATGAGCTTTCCTGGGCCAGACCCACTTCCTCAGATATGAACTCAGATATGATCTGAGGAAGTGGGTCTGGCCCAGGAAAGCTCATCACCTATTAAACCATCTTGTTAGTCTTTAAAGCGCTACATAGTTTTTCCTTTTGTTTTAGCAAGATCAGACTAAAAGGCTAAAAAGGCTTCTTCCTCATCGAAAGAGGGTTACCGTTGTTGGAAAAACCCTTGCATTCTTTCAAATTTTTGTTGAAAGAACGCAATTACAGTGTGGACGTAAGTGAATTTTTTCCAGAAAAATGGCTGTTTTTCCAGAAAAACTCTGCAGTGTAGACATACCTTAAGAGGGATAAATCCCAGCCTACACACACAAGTTGTGGAAAAAGTCCTGGGCTATGTTTACACTAGGAAGGTCTGATTACAAAAGTGCTGTCAACATGCCAAAGACACTAAAAGTGAAAACTGGCCAAATCAGTTTTTCTGCCTCCTATTGTCAACATTTCACAGCCGCATTATTCATAGAATCATAGAATAATAGGACTGGAAGGGACCTCGAGAGGTCATCGAGTCCAGCCCCCCGCCCTCAAGGCAGGATCAAGCTCCGTCT